GATTAGTCAAGTATTTGACAAGGACCTTGCCCAAAGCCTGTCTATTTTTCCATTTTGGCGTGTCTAGTTAACAGCATCGTTGACAACATTATTTCTTCACATGCAAAATTATGAATGAGAGGTTAGCCCTTTATTATTTCACGCAGCGGTAATATGCATGGGTCGACGCAAAACGTTGCCAATCTCGTCAACAGAGCATTTTTTACCTTTAAGGTAATTAAGGTAAAAAAATACATAATATGTAAAAAATGCATACCTATGGAATTTGTGAAAATAGACAAGATATCATCAAAGGCATTTACTGCATTAGTAGCCAATAAAACTGAGCTTATTTAAGGTGCCTCGATCGGGGTTTTTCCGGGTCAATACCTCCCAAGTTTGAGCATGAACTACGTCGCCATTAGCAAGGATTTGAAAAAATTACCACCACAACTGTGTTGGATAAAGATAAAAATGTGTTATGATCAGGGTTGCAATGACATCGGAGTTGTCATAGCAACGAAATGACGCCATTACCCTCGACATGGCACCCTCAACCCTCGACACCTTGACCAAAAGTCGCACTCCTACGCTACCTACTTGAATGTATGTTATTAAATGTATGTTTTTAGACTCTTAGTTTTAGAACTTTTACCAATTTTTGGGCAAAAATGCAAATTTATTCAAGTACAAAGGGAACTTCAGGACAGCTTTTAGCGATAACATTCAGTGATTGCCTCATGCCTTAGAGAGAATGAAACTCTAGTAAGTGTTCTACAGTACTAATACTATACGATAACTTATTTCAACACGATGGTGATTAAGCGTTGTTGCTTATGGGGTCGTGCATTTAAGCTAACTAAAACTTGAGCGATAACAGTATATTGAAATCGTCTTAATAATGTAAAAAAAATATCGTTATTATTGTGAGGCATTGTTTGTGGAGGTTCAGCCCGAAAATCTAAATTACGTAGGTTGTCAGATTTAGAGGCCATTATGGTGTAATTTTTAACGTTGGATGTCTTTGCAAGGTCAGGAGTAAGAAGTCTCCACACAATAGATGCTCTGTGTGCCATTGAATTTTTTCACGAAAAATGTGTTAAAGGGTGGCACTATTACCTTATTCTTAGTTCGTAACTCTTTTTTGTTGATATATGCCCCATGGAGGGAGGAGTGCAATCATAAAAGATCTTATATGCTAATGTTGCCAACTTTACTTGGTACACAAAGTGTAAAGAATCCTATTTGGTTATCTTAAGTTATTATCCACCCTCAAGCACCCTCCTCGCCTTGATCGGCGCTAGCGCTTGCGGTTTTAATAAATACCCCCATAAATCGTATATTTTCTGAAAGCTTAATAGTTCTAGATTATTGCTTATTCCTTTTAAAAAACTAAAAAATTTTAACAAGATTCAGAAGTGAGAAGCTTTTTGTGGAAGTGGGTGTCACTGTAAATGTTTCGTCCAGGCTAGCAAAAAATTAACACTTCAAAAATATGATGAGACCGTCTAAGTTTGATATCGAAAGTTACGCCTATATAACAATCGTGCGTGGATCACCCATTTTATCGTGTGGTTACACAGTGTGAGAGTGTTGAGCGGGTACGTTAAACTACCCTGTAGTAACATCATTTCTTCACACTCCAATCTTCTAATTCCTTGCATTATTGAGAATGTTCCGGATGGAGTCCACTGACACACTTACAATACAATAGATGGTCGTGTCGTTAGCGTACTTGTAGAGAGATGCAGAACTAACTGCCTAAGGTCCTCAGGGCGAAAAGTGTTGGTCCCAACACGGAGCCTTGAGGGACGCCAGGGGTTACGTAACCTTGGTCTGAAAGTACTCCTTTTACAACGACGTACTGTTTCCTTTCACTAAAATCGTCTCTTACCCAGTCGAGTAGGTTCCCCTTGATCCCGTTATAATGCTCAAGTTTGTGGATTAAGATTTTGTGTGAAATGCTATCAAATGCTTTCAGTTGAAAGTCAATATATAATACGCCAACGACAAGGTCGGCGTCTCGGGTGCGTCTCCAGGTCTCTGTTAGGTCTGCTAATAGTAAGTCAGTAGAGTGTCCCTTACGGTAGGCCCACTGATATTTCAGTTACCAGCTGATTGCGAGTGAGGACGTGTTCTACAATAGAGTCGGTGACACAAGACTCTAGGATTTTTATTGGTATGCTTAGCATAGACAATGGCGATAATTCCTCTATCTGACTCGTCGTCTTTCTTAAATATGGGATTTAATCTGGCTACTTTCCAATCATTATAAACTTTAGCTTCTCTCAAGCTACGTAGATGCAGGTTAGTCAGCGGCACGGCAATAGATGTTTCACCAGCTCCAAGTAACCGTGGCGAAATACCGTCCGGGCCAGTGGCTTTGTTTTTCTTCAAAGTAATAAGTCTCTTTGCGACTTCACTGCATGATATTCGGGCATCATATACATGGAACAGGCTTAGATTTTGTAGTGGTTAGTGTCTGGTGCTGTGGCTTAAAGGAGTCTGCCAGTTTCATTTCAACAGTGGCGAAGAAACAATTTGATAAGTTAGCTTTCTCTTTATCATCGACAGCGAGAGACTCGTCATCACATTAGCGGACCGATTGGTTTTCGAGCTTTGGGATTGGTTTCTCTAGACAGTAGATTCCAATAGCGGAAGTGGTTTTAACGTCATCCAATTTCCTCTTTTTTAAATAAGCTGTTTTTGCCTTCCTAACGTCAGATCTTATTTCATTTCTTAGTTTTTTGTAATCAGTTCACTTGTCAGCCTCTTTGGTTTCAACGGCTTTCTTAAACATTTTGAATCTTCGATTCATTTTGAGCTTGATTTGTTTATTAATCCATGGGGAGGACACGCTTCTGTCATTATTAATTACAGAAGAACATGTATTGAGGAAAGAGGAAATAAAGTTGCCACGTCAAACAATAAGAAAGTACTTATAGATTTCTTGGATTAACTTCAGGGGCTTTAGACGAAGTTACCTTGCCTTTTCTTAATGAAAACACTGAGGCTAACAAATATACTGATGATTTCTTAAAATATTGTGAGAAATAAAATAGCACTGACATTAAGCAACCAATCTAGGAAGAACAAATGAGTCCTAGAAGTTCTCCGACTCATGGATACTGGCAGAAACCAGTATTATTAGCATCCGGGCCCGCTGTAGTTAGCCACAGATGTTGCAGTGTCCCTGTCAACGTTCTTACTGTTTGTTTGTTTGTTTGCTTGTTTGTTTTTTTGGGGGGGCGAAGCTAATAAAATAAAATAAAATAAAACCATTCTCTGTTCAGAGTAATTCTTCCAATGAACAAATCACTCTAGGTTGCAATCACAAAGTCACATCAGCGATCTGCCTACAAATAACTGTAGTTGCGACTCACTGGTGGAAATATACGTGTTTTGCTTAACTTTCAATGATGCCTTGCTCGAATTAGAATCTTCTAAACACAAATTACAACTTGAGTTTAAGGCTTTTAAACTCATGGCTAATGATGAGCTTGGAAGTAGGTGCCTTAAAGATTAGTGGGGGACAATTGCAATAAGCAGAGAGGAGGTATCCATGGCAACCCTGGAAGCGGGAACGAACCCAGGAACGGCGACTAACCGGCACCGTCACACTGAATAAATTCAGTGGAGATACTTAACTAAGAGAATACGTACCTGAGAAAATACTTAGGAAACCACTAGGCAGGTTGGGAGGAGACGACGAAGCAAGAATCCGCAATAATTTGCAAGAAGGCAAAAAATTGATCCGCTACGATCAGCAAGCAAAGCTAGAATGCAACGCAACACCAGCAAAAGAGCGCACAAGAAGGCCTGCAGTTCTGATATTTAGGGACATTAAAAATGGTCTTGTTCTAATAAGAAACTAGAGCTTTTAGCTCAGCACAACCCTTGCCATAAGAATGGCTTTTCCCTCGAGTAATTTTTCTAGTAGTCGCTCCTCGGCGTTTAGGTTTTTCTTCTTGGATTTTCCGATGTAGAGCCTTCAGGAGAAGCTTATTCCATCCATTTTGGATGTACGAGTTGATTCTTTTAGACAAAAAACAATATCACATCAAAACCAGTCTAAAAATTTCCTGCCAAAATTATAAAAGTCGCAACATTGAAAAAACAATTACGCCCACCTAAACTTACCTGGTTTTTTTAAAAACTAAGGTGAGTTCGCGTAAATTTCTACAGCCACGGCACTTCAGCCACCTCTTAGCCTCTGCTCGACTCATCACTTCAACGTTTTGCTCGAGTTTTTCCCCTCTAATTTCGGATTCACTAAGCGTGATGTGGCGTACGCTGTGATCGGCCGCCGTGATTTGCTTACATTTTTTTACGGCCGACATGTCGATCTATCTGCTATTTGGAGAATATTTGCAGAGCTGGACAAACCTAAACGTACACTATCGAAGATGAACTGAACATCGATGGATCGATGGAGGTAAGCATGTTTTAGCTATGTTTTTAAACTAGGAATTATTTTGAATGAATAATAAAACAGTTACTGAATTCGGCTTTCGTATCATTATGAAGAATTATGGAGATCTCGGAGGGTGTAATCCGCCTCGGCCTACGACCTCGACGGATAACACCCTCCTCGATCTCCATAATTTTTCATAAGATACTCAGCCTCATTCATAAGCTGTTAATTAATTTAAATTACGAGGACCTTCGCTCGCTACTCAAGAATCTTCAAGAAGGCCGGCATGAACCATCAAAAGTATCATTCGCAGTTTTTCTTTCGATCTCAGTATCGCAAATCTTTGCTTTGCTAAAACTGATGTGCTCATTGGTTAAGTTTCGGGCTTACGCATATTTGACGTACGAGAAAATATAACAAGCACTGAAAGATAATGCGAGTTTAGTTTAATTTATTAACTGCTTTTAACATTTTTTTTACTGCAAACCGAAGCAAATGGGGAAATTTCTTAACTAAACTTTATACTCATGAATCAAAAACTTAAATGAAATTATCACATAAACGTTTCTACAAAAAAGCGGAAAAAATAACTTTTAATAACTGATATTCATATGAAACGAGCATAAATATCGCAGCACGACTTTCCTCCATTGTCCGCCTCACTGCTATTTGCTAGATCTTCTCCATACCACAGACGTAGCTCCTGTCCTCCAGTCACGTTTGGAGGGTTGGAGAAAGCAGACAGCACCAGCTCTGGAGAAAGCGAGTTGTAACCAGGAATCAACGACCACTTGTGTGTCACGTCAGTGATGAACTGGCTTGAAGGCAAAAGAACTTGACCGTCCGAGGTTGTTACTGTAGTGTCTACATGATTCGTCAAACTAGAGTGCTTCCCGCATCCCCAATAAGACCAATGGTAAGCTTTGTTCGTATCACACGTCACATAACCATAGACGTGGACCAATTTCACTGACGCTAGTTTGCCACTGGATGGAACAAAGAACTTACCAAACTGGTCTTCTCTCTCGCCAAAACACACTGGCGCAGTATTTACTTTAATCCATGGGTCTAAAGAAAAATATACAATTCATGGAACTGAGTTTTATAGGCCTATGTATGCAATCCGCAAAAATCCGACAATTGATAACATTTGATAACAATTGATAAAGTTGATTAATTGAATCGAAAATCGATAGTGGAAGAGTTATGACCAATCAATAACTATAAATTTTTCATTCACCTTAATTGGTTTTTATCAAAATTATCGATTTTATAGGGGCTAAGTTTTTCAACATGTTTTAGAGTAGGGAAACATTAGAAAAGAAAGGCTTCACTTACAAAATATCACTACTATTCTATGAATGTTTTGATAACATGTTAGTACAACATTTCAAGTCTTGAGGATAGCCCAGTGCTCAACATAGTTCTCAGTGTGGTACAGTTTGTGAGCAAAACCCTTGCAGCTTCCAAGATATTGCCGATCCCTAGCTTAACGCGTCTTCTTCAAACACGCTCATCTGAAGACGCGCAGTTTCCAATGTATTTTATTGGAAGTAGGGCGTTAGGAAAACCAGCTGTCCTCGAAGCCAGTGAAATCGATAGAATCGGTGTGGCCATTGATTTTTATTGATTGATAGATATATCGATATCGATATCAATATCAGCTATGAATTATCTATAGTTGTCGATTTTACAGACTGGTTTTCCTATTTGGATTTTATCGATTGTACTCGCCAGGTTACTCGTGGTTATTTGGTACGGCATTTTTGACAAATTTAAAAGCCATTGTCAGCAAACTGAAAAGACTTCGATCGAAACGAGCTGCTCCCCATTACGTCGGCCTTATCAAATGATGTTTTATTCAAGCCAATCAGAGATGAAGAAATATCCTGAATGAAAAATAATTTGTCTTACAGGGGGCGTCGCTCGATACTGATATCGGTCGATAAGTCGGTCCAGTTTTATCAGTTGCTCGGTTCTTGAACGAGTCAACATCAGCAGTGAAAAGATGATGCTTTATTAGCTGTTGTCTTTTGTATTTATTACTATTAAGAATTTTTACATTCTTAATCTCGTTTCCAGACCCCTTGTAATTTTTGAATATATAGTCTCGTCACTTTCTTTAACAGTCACTTTAGATCATTTTTGAAAGTATATGTTGAATAGCATACGAAACGTCAAGTTTATGAAAATGCGAAAACTCACAATGTTTATCAACGCTGTTTGTCTTTAATTTTTTTATGATTAAGTAACTTTCTGCACATGAAAAGTTCCACTCGGTGACTTTAAACGATCCATCATCCTGGCTACTTCAGCAACATAATCAGAAATCAATCGAAACCGAGCAAGACAAATTAAAATGCGACATGATTTTTCAGTCTTGACTTTTTGTCAACTAATTCATAATTTCGTCCTGGAACATTAAGCTTTCCAGTGACATCAACCTTCAACATCCGTCAAGGCACATAGTGTTTTAAGTGACGTGAAAATCATTTTGTTGTTACTACTCTTTTAATTCTACTGTTAAACAGCTAAGTAAATAATTTCAATTTGAGAAATCTGTTTTTTTCCTAGCTTTCCAATCGTAAGTTAAACTTTTTACGCAATTACATTAGTTAGAAAATAATTACAATGGTGCAGGAAGCCTTCTCTCAAAGCTGCCATATTCAATTTACCACCCAGGGTGAATGGTTTGCGTAAAAAATAAACGCGACAGGATTTTCACAGCACTCAAGTTTTTAATACCCAGGCTCTAATTTCAGATTACACAATGGATTTAGAATTTATTCAGGGGGCAAGGGGTTTTATTCTCCTTAGTTGCGTTGCCTTAGTTGGTTCAAAAAATGAGGAGCAAATGAAAAATGAGAATAATAAGTGAGACAAGCTGAAAGAGTTGGCCAAGGTGCATTTTTTTACACGATAGGGTTGGCTAAGCAACAGTAATAGAAGAATAAATTGGCTGGTTCTCCCAGAGCAATAATCAGTTCCGATACGAATCGCTATCAGGACTGTTGTACTGCAAATGTTGAAGCATTCTATGTCCAGTCGGAATCTGCAGTAAGTTGAAGTTAGGTTGCGCACAATACAGTGTGAGCTAGTGTGAAAGAAATCATGGTCAGAATTTTCATTGCTCTCTTTACCTTTGCTGAACTTCTCGTCTAGTCGTTGAAGTAATTCCTCTTTCAGTTGCTTAATTTCTTTCTTGAGGGCGCTGCTTTCATTTGTAGGAGCACCCGAATTACAAAGTTGTTGCACAACGACTTTGCCATCAGAGAAGGTGTCACTTCCCACTGAAGCTTTGTTTCCTCCAGTCTGGGACCTAGCAACTGCACACAAGCATGCGATGAGAAAGGCCAGGGTTGTCTTATATTCACAGCAAATTATTTTCTTAGTGCGTGTTCAATTTGGTGAAGTGACCTAGGAAGACCACTGAGCGGAATGCGATCGATTCCCGAAAAGACTGATACTATAAACCCAACAGTTCGCGCATTAACGCAGGGCTGTAGTCATAGTAACGTTGTGACGTCATGCTCTTGATTAAATTCCATGTCCCGGACGAGAGATAAGTTAAGATAAGATAATTTATTTAATGCCCGGGGGTACTCCCTATAATGGCCTATACGGGAAAGGTCCGCCTGAATGGGGTGCTTTTCAGTTTAGGCTTCACGTAGATTTCACTAGTTAGCGACTATCTACAAGGGAAGGGAAATCTGTCATTTCGGTCGTAAAATGGACAAAAGGGCTAATAAATGCATTTTTTGCCTGTGAAAACGGTTTTTTGATTTATTCATAGTTGGAAGACAGCGCATATCTCTTTAAATGTTCTCAAAACATAGCCAAAGACTTAAAGTCTTAATGAGGCTGACAGTCTCCATAACTGTCAGCCATCTTTGTCAAAACTTGGAAATCGTCAAAGGTGTCAGAAGCCTTAAATAGGATTCTGAAAGTGTTAATTATTGCGATTAACGCGCCAAGTCATTCTGTAGACGCCCCCTCCCCTGGTTGGGGGTGGAGATCACTTGCGTCCATATGGGAGAAAGCTGACAGGCTCCCTCGTCCCTGTTCATAGTAGGAGTGTTCGATCTAACACATAATATGCTTCCTTGATCGATCTTATAAGCTTGCGCTTTCCTGCTCAACTATTTCACTTGCTTCCCAATTCATAATATGATTGTTCTGACAGACATGGTCTGTTATGGCTGATTTATGGTGCTCATTGGTAGAAGCTCTGCAGTTGGATCTTGAGTTGAAATTTTTGTCAGAGATCTTTTCCGCTTTCTGTGTTTCCCAGCTGTCTCCCTGTTTCACCAATGTATACCTTTTAGAAATGGTTGCGTGGAATTTTGTACACCACTCCAGCCTTTTTTTGCTTATCAACTTTGTCCTTCGGGTGAACTAAAACCTGTCTGAGGGTGGTTTGAGGTTTAACCACTGTGGCTACCCTGTGTTTTGTGAATGTACGTTATATTTTCTCCATGAATGAGTGGACATATGGGACAGTCACCACTCCAGACAGTGCAATTACAGCAGTTAAAAGGAATGCAAAGATCTAAACCAGGTATGTGAAAGGGGAACCATTTGTCTGTAGAATGTATACGAAAGGGGTACCTTTCCTCTCAAAAATTTTATGTAAAAGGTAGGGGCGTTGGACCTAAAACCCTAGCCTCTCGGTATAAACGTTTTTGGAGTAACCCCGGGATTTAACGTCAAATTTTCCTTCCGAACCAAAGAATCGTAATACAAATGTTTGACAGATTAAGAGCTACCCAGCGCTACGCAAGCCAAAAAGTCTTAAATTCCAACTTCGACCCAGCCCTAGTGACGAGGTCACTTAAAACTAAAAACAAATCAAAATATAGTTGATATCTCATATTTAGCAATTGATTGGATGAGGTTAAGCATGATGTTAAGAATAAATGATTTTCCAGTAATTGGAGACTTATCCGAGAAAAGGATTCTGGGGTCGCCAGGAGGAGCAAACATTGCAAGTCGATACAAAGAAATGTATGGCGTAGAGTTGTTTCTTCGTTAGAATAGTGTTGTGTGGACTTTAGATAACCCATTTTCGCCGTAATTTTGTGAAGAGCGGAGGTCACTAGAGGAGGAATAAATGAAATAACATCAGTTGGTGTTATTCAAACTAACAACTTAGCGGCGTTCCTAATCCAGTGCTTGTAACTACACAAAGTAATCGTTTGGTTTGAAGAGATTTTTGGTTTTTGAATAAACAGTTCCAGACAGTCAGTTGTTATTCTAGTTATGATTGGTTCTACTGTGCGATTAGATCACGTGATTTGTATCAACACGTGTTGTTTGCATCAGAATAAATTTCGCTCTTGTTGTAGGGCAATGGTTGGTTTCACTTGATTTCTTTACTCATAATAATTCTCACATTCTCAAATCAAGAGACTTTTCACTTCTGATCTAGAAGGCCATGGAATTGAAAATGACAGTCCTTGGGACAAGAACTGGTGAAATACCAAAAGTATCAGCCAGGAATTTCACATCGAAACATTTTCTCGTAAGAATAAAAAGTTGCTCCCTTTTCCGTGTCAAAACACCTTCATCGTTGACACATGTAGCAGTCTTTTTATTTTTCTTTTTTTTTGTTATGTTTTGGTATTCTCACTACCACTCCAGTAATGAATCTTAGTGGCCTTTGCCGTTCTAAAAATTAAGATACTGAATGAAGTTTAGGTCTAGTATAACGTGTATATTGATGACACTGTTTAGGACATGTTGCTTAATTGACGAAATATGCCCTCTTTTTTTCGTCTTCGCTTTTGTCTGTGTAGCTACTTCTCTTTTATAAACACTAGGACATTTATCTGGACCTCCATTGGTGAAATAGAACTTAGCAAGGTCAATGTTTTCACCAATATTACACCATCATCAAGAGAAACTTTATTATATAAACACCAGTAAAATACCAAGTGAGCTTTCGCGCAAAAACATGATACCCTCACATGCGGAAATAACATTCACTGAGGCGCGTGTGCACTCGTGAAATATTTCGAAGAGAAATTTCGTGTCTCCGCAAGGCCATGTAATATCCTCTATTTCTTAAATGGAACGTCATCATTCACCTGACCATTTTCACTTTGCGTCCTTTTTCTGGTCTTTTTGTATAATAATATTCCATGCGTCCGATCTTAGGAGCAGGTCTTTGAAATTTACCTTCAGAGTCATTACTTTTCATTTACAAAGCAGGTGTGCGACATTGGGGGTTTCTATATCCTTGTGCAAAATGATTTGAGCAGACCTTGTGACGAAACGTCCTGTTTGTTTTTTACGAGTAGCATCTCAACATACCAACATCAGTGGGGAAGACTTTTCAGTCTTTCTGGGTACCAAATAGACTCGTACTTAACATCAACACGATAATGTAAAGGGCTTATTGTTTGGTTGTATTGTTTCTTTCGTTCGCAATCTGTGCCTCGGTACCAACAGAAAAAAGTCAACAAATCAAGAATTACAACTCTCAAAATGCAACAACTCAAAGTTCAAAAACAAGCGAAGAAGCAAAGAGTGTTTAACGTAATATGTCAAAAACTCGGGCTTCTTGCTTCATCGACAAGCGTTTGGAACCTGATGAAGCACGAATCCCAACTTTTTGGCATGTCTTCTCCAATGAAACAATAAGAAATTATGCACTGACCTGTTTTCTCTGGTACTGCATTGTTTCCATGAGTTGTCTTTATCAATAAAAGGCCTCATTAAAATGCAAGTGTTTGCTCTCAGATGAAAAACATGTTTCATCTCGGATGAAAACCTGGTGGTGTTTTATCTGGTATTTTATTAGGTATCAAGATTCATCCACCAGACCCAAATGGTCGTCATCTATTGGCTTTTGCCTGCATGAATAATTAATGAATTCAAATTGTGGTGTAACATCAAACAAATTGTAGCAGGATTTTTCCACCATTCATTTAGTTGTGCGACGGTTACCTAACAACATGCGTAAATCACGCTCAAGAATACTCCGGTCCAAAGACTCTCCAGGCTATAGTTATCATAGACGTGATTTTTCGTTCGCATTGGCAACACCATTTTTGCAAAATTGTTGCGAATAGTTGTGGAAATAGATTTTGCGATTCATGTAATTTTCTAAACAAACGTTCAACCAAGGTTTTCCTGAGAAAGAAAATTTATCTTCCGCTAATCCGTTTGATGATACCCGTATAACCTTGCAGTCTTTGGTTAATGTTTTTTTTTTTGCTTTCTTCCGACACCGTTTTATATTGAAAAAGATCCATACAGAATGACTTAAAGAAATACGTGTTTAAACAGCAAAGTACGCAGTCTTTTGAAAGTAGCCCTAGATGTGCAATTTCATATTTTAACATGAGATTATCTCCCCCATGAGATTGACAGGAAAACCATGTACGCGCGGTGCGCACGAGCGGGCAAACCTGAAAAAGGCGAGGGTTAAAAAATAACAACATAAAATTAATAAGAAAGTGAATAATTAAAAAGTGCAAATAAATTAAATATTTTTTAAAAAGGCTCAATTAACTCCACTTGTTTCATTGAACTTTTACTCCTAAAACTAATGACTACTTTTTTTCACACTCGAATGTCCGGCTTTTCAGAGAAGCGAAGTGATTTATAGGTGGACCGATTCTTTAAAGTGCTGAAGAAAGTCAGTCCTTCTGCCATGTCTAAAATATAATACTGTAACATAAACGAGACACTATATGTCCACAAACCTGTCAAGGAATCGCACCAGAATTCATGTAAGGTCATTAAAAAAGAAGCGTACAAAATCTAATATGTGAACATGAATGCACACCTTACACAGAAATGCCATAAAAGAAAATAGAAACCACGTGCGATTACATATCACAAAGTAGAACTCGAACAGAAATTCATCATGACATAATGAAACAAAAGGCTTGACAGTCACTGGACACCGAGCCACCATAAAACGGCAAATGGAAAGGATTTTGCCCTGATCGACAGGCCAAGAATATTTAACCATGAATAGAGAAACTGCCACAAAATAGCTATGAACACTTCATATGTGTTGTATCTATACATCATTAGTTTGTAATAAATACAATCGACAACTGAAATATGTGTTAGCAGAATATCGTTCTTGTCAGTTGGTACATATTTTTTTTCTAAAAAATAATAGTATTTTCTCCGTCTCAATATAAAATCAAAATATAATCAATTTTAATTTATTTTGCAAACGTTACAAGTACTATTCCTATATGTAAAAAAATAAAAGTTTATCTCTTGCTTAACTTCCCGTGTAGGTGCTGTTATAGTTTCACAGTCGACGCAGTGAATGTACGTCTTTCAGAAATCTTACTAACGAAGGCCCTCGGAAAGATTTGGCTTTTTGTGAGCGGTGAGTTCAA